GCCGCCCGGCTGCCTGGTGGCCCCGCCCTGCCCCGCTGGCCGCCACCCGCCCTCGGGCCCTTCCCCCAGCTGCCGCGGGGCCCTCTCTTCACACATTTTGGGTGCTTGTCCATCTCCTCCAATGAGCAGAGCAAATTTGGCATCCCTGGTTGCCAGAGAGGATTGTGGGGCACCGGCTCCGGTGCCGATCACATCCCATGCCAGGCCCCCCCGACGAGCGGGACAGGTGGAGGGAGAGAGGCCCCATAACCAGGATTCGGGATTCGAAGCGCGCCTAAGCATGCTTTTGCCCAGAGAGGGGGCGGGTCTCATAATAGGCAAAGCTTTTCCCCCTCCCCAGCCTCAGTTTCCTCCAAGTGTTCCCTGAGGCAGGCAGATGAGGTTTCCGGTAAGCCCTTCCAGTATGGAGTTGACTCCCATTTCCCTGCTGTCAGGGCCAGGCATCTCCAATTTCTGAGAGGAGGGGTGGGGGGCTGCAGAATTGGCATGGATCCGTTTCCACCCCACCCCACCACCACCCTGATTCACTAAAGTGGGGTTTGCGTAGTGGTGGCTGGTTTTCTCATTCAAAAACACAAGAGTGGAGGGTTGGCTGTGTGGTCGACCTTCAATGAAAGAAAAGCCCAAGAGGAAGAAGGGAAAGAGGGGAAGGATCACCCAAACAAGGAAGATCTTACTCTGGTGGGAAATGTTCCCCCTTTTGGGGGTGAGACAGAAGCTTATCTCGTTTCCAACCCCTTAAAATCGCAGCTAGATGACATGTAATGATGTAAAAATATATGAAACTGGTATACGATACATATATCTTTTCCTTGGGTTCAATACCAGCCTCCTGGTAATGAGCTCATCCTTTTCAGCGCAAACACTCCCCAAACAGACTGTATTAAAAGCGAAGAAAAATGATCACTTAGCTAAGAATAACATAAAAACATGGGAGAAAGGAACATCCAGTGATCTTTGAAATGCAAGGTGTGTGGGGGGGAGTTCGATTTTCACAATTTTTGTGGTAAAAGATTTGCTTGAGTCTCCAGAGACCTTCTCGAAGATAAAGGGAGCTAATTTTCTAGGAAAATGTTTAATAATTCGCAAGGATGAAAATGAAGCCATGCAATTACCTAATCAGTTCTCTTTGCCATCGTCCTTAAAAGAGATACAAGATGCTAAGTTAAATTTAAAAGCGATGAAGGAGAAGCAGGAGAAGAAGGGGATTGTGTCCTTTCTCTGCAAACCAGGCTTTTTCATGATTCATTAAACCCTTTTTCCATATGTGTAATTGAACTCTTCTCATTTGCATAAAGGAGGGATGAGGCAAAAGCCCTAAAATGAGCCGGAAAGGAGAGAGATGTTTCTGATTCTTCCGTGTTAACAAAAAATAGTGTAGGAGAAAACTCCAAGAAGGCAAAGTGCAACACACACTTGGCAATACAACACACACACACACACACACACAGCTCTGAAGTACTGCCTGGCCCGAGAGTGCAGATTTGGCAATGCTTTCATGGTTGCCCTGCACACCGGCCCTCATGGTTATCAGAGGCACATGTTTTTATTTTATTTTCTCTAATTAAAAAGATTGGACTGCAAGGACTGACAGTAGGACACCATATCCTACTTTCCCTCCTCATTGTTGATTGGGTTAAAAAACAAGAAGAAAGACGGCACTGTTTTTAAAGAGCACAACCCTCGGCTTGAGCTTGAGTTGTCTGGCTGGGATCCTCCATTCAGTTGGTTTCAGCACCTGATTAATTAGTTAATTAGTACTTAGAGCTGACTAGCCCCGGTCGGCAATTTTCATGCCCTGCATGGTGAAATGTTGAATCCAGCATTGAAATATCTGTGTCGTACACCCTAATTATTATCACCCCACTACTTTTTAAACCATTGCACCAAATTATTATTATAGACAGAGCCAGACAACTGTGTAGGAATATGTCCTTTCTGAGAAATAATGGTAGACTGAATCAATATTATTCACTGTTGCCCTTAACACATTTAAATAAAACAATTGGACGGTGGAAAGTCTAATTCAATTAGCCTCGAACTCCATTCGCTGAGAAAATGATAGTATAAGGGAGAAATATTAGGGGGAAAAAGTCACATCAAAAATGTTTACATCTTAACCATTTCTCAGATAGCAAAGAGTGCATCTCCAAGAGATCCTATCAGAGACTAGGTTTAGTCCCATATCAGTAAGCTTAAGATGTTAAAAGTAATAAAGAATGGAAAATCAAAGCAAAACTCCAATTTTTTTTAAAGCCAAAGACAAGCTTAGTTTGCTAGCTCTCTGGAAATGATGCTTTGTGGAGGGTCTTTGGTGTTTTTTAACATTTGGCATGATTTAGGAATGAGTTTTCTATGGGGAAAAAAATCCTTGGCTGCTGCCTCATTCTTCTATAAATTTGATGTCGTGGCTAAGGTTAAATACCCACTTGGGGAAAAGATGGTTGTAGAAAATAAGTCAGACGCAAAGTTAGTGCTGTCTCGTTCTTGGCATTTTTTTCAATGTGCCTTGTAGGCAAAGGACCCTGGCGTGTCACTGATTTCCAATATTATTGGTAGTAATTTTCACCTTATAGACAGTAGTGGATTGCCTGTGATTGTAAGAGCTAAATGTTACATAAAACTGGATACACAACCACAGACCAGTAAATGGTTCGGACTGAAAGCAAAAGTAAACACCAACCTTAGGAAATGAAAGAAGTTAAAAGATAAGTGTTAAGGGCCTTATTCTTTTGGGAGAATCAAACAAGATTTAGTAGCTTTCCACTTAATTTAAGTGAAAAGAATCACTACCTTACATATTGCAGTGATAATGTAATGGGGAAAGAAAACAAAAAAGTCTTTGTACAAATGACACCTCCTATAGTTGTTGTGAAGAAACTTTTCCCCTTGGTATCTGCTAACAAATTCTAATTAATGCTGCACATTCCTTTACTGAAATCATTTAATGCGTAACAAGGGGGGGGGGGAGAAATGCTGAATGCTCGTGATTGCCCTGTTAGAATTATGGGAGTGAAAGCCTGGGGCCCCAAACTTACTGTCTATTAAAGCCAAGCTTTGAAAAAGAAATGCAACCTACAAAAGCTGTCAATCTCCCTTGCCCCTAAAGCCTGGGTTCACATGGATTCAAGTGACAGCCCTCCTCCCCCCTGCACAATACATCAATCTGTCTCTCCCACAAGCACCCACAGCCCATTGTGCTGGCCGCAGGTGCCTATTATGGCACCCATGGCTGCCTCCCACAGCTCCGCCCCTGAGAAACAGGAACTGCAGACAATGGAGCCCTGTGGGAAGACAGAGGTGGGTGTTAGGAGGGATCACAGACAGATGGTAAAGGGTAGTAAGGTAGTTTCAAAACAAATGTCAAACATTCAAAATTATTGCGTTCGTGCTCCCCCGCCCCAATTGCCTATGCCTCTTCCATCACCATCTGCCAGAAATTCTCAAACCACTTACCTGTGATGGTGAATATTTGCTCCCCTCTTGAGGGGGTAATGGAAGGGATGACCTTCACTATTGCTACTCCTGCTATTTAACCTCTAGGTTTCTCAAGGTCACAGACCAAGGCATTTTCCTTGTACCAGTAAACAGATGGAGGGTGGGGTATAGGGTATATTTCTAGTCTATATTGTGATGGGGAGGGGTTCAGTTTTGTTTGTGTTTTGACTGGATTTGTGATTTCCTTCGAGGATTGGTTCGGGGCTTCTTTGGTGGGCAAGGATCGGAAGAAGAAGAAAAAACCCCGAGTTAGTTGGAGTAATATACTTTTGAAAGCAGAATAAAGTAAGACTTCTGACTAATGCCATGACAAGCAGGTGAAGCTTCTTCCACTGTTGCTTTGCCACTCAGGAGTCACGAAAAGGGAAACAAGGTGGATATACGAATAACCACTCTTCCCAAACATGTCAACAAAAATAAGCAAAATTGCAAAAGCCTACTAATTATGCGACCCATCAGTTCTGTGATCAGAGAAGGTACATTTTTTTAAAATATGGTTTTCAACTGCGTCATTTGTAGTGTTTTTCTCTTCTTGGTTCTGAATTAATTACGAAGCAATAAAATGGAAACATCCAAAGATACGTCAAAGGAACCTGGGTTCGTGCACATCTGTTGGTTTCCTAGCTTTTGCCCACACGTGGCCATCTCGATTGAAGATCTATCTCCATTTGCAAGCTAGTTTGTCACAGGCTAAAACCAAACAAACAATCATTTCACCATTGCTCCTACTACCTATCTATCACAAACAAAAAGTGACCAAGAAAATGCTGGCGCAACTGTAAGTCCTGGGCAAGACAACTGGTGACTTGTTGGGATGGGGCTCCCCTTGAATAATGCCAGGGAAGTAAAAGCAGCCCTTTTTTCCTGAAACAAACAAGAGGGCCTTGGTTTGCTGTCAAACCCCACAAACTAGGATTTAACAAGGCACTGTCAGCGATCCAAGGAAAGCTCTTGCCAAGGGAGCGCTTAATTAGCAGAGTTGGTGTGAATTTTTAAATCACACAAGAGAAACAACCAAGAAAATATGAAAGCATACGGTAGGTTAGCATGGCACAAAATTCACTCTTCCGTTATGCCTGCATGTGGATGTATGTGTGTGTGGTGACTTTGCACATTTCATTAGCAATTTACATTTGGATTCGGAGTGTTATTCTTGTTGCGTGTTTCTTTGGCTTTCATCTTGTGTGTCCTTTAAGAAATTTGCATGTGTTTTATTTCCTGATCACGGTTATACATGTATACATGTTCATGTATACATATCTGAATGCTAATCTACACACACTACTTTTGTTTTTCAATTGACAGATTTTGGAGATCGGTCCATAGCAGAGCATTCAGAGCTATGAGGGCATACTTCATACATGTGAATAGCTTTGAATCATATTTGGTATTTGTAAAATAATAATAATGACTTTTATGGTGATTTGAGTGAAAGTTTATAGAGTACAGTAGAACCCGCTACTCAGTACACAACACAATTGGATTTTGATGCGAAATGTCAAGAAAATTTTACATAGGAGCACATGATTCTTATAAACAAAAGCAGTTCATGTGTTACAAAAGTAACTCTGTGTTAGTTAGCATTGTTAGTACGCATTGTTTAAACCTTTTTCGGCTGTGTTCCAAGCATTTTGCTATAATTTTCTTAGATGTTGTGGCTTTTTCCAGTGTTTTGAGATTTAAAAACATGGGTCCTAAGAAAGTTCTTTGAAAAGAATCATGATAAGGAACTGGTTAACCGTCTTATCAATATTGTTGATGATAATTCAGTAAACCATTTTAGAAAACAGTTAAGGAAACTCCAACAGCAGACCACATTAGACATATTTTTAAAGAGAAAGCCGGCCAGGTCCTAGTGAAAAAAAGCAAAGAAGGGAAAAAAAACTCCTGAAAAGCCGCTACCAGTTGATTTGATGGAAGGGGATTCCCCTTCCAAACAATGACTCTCTCTCCACACCTCCCCTCCACATCAGTGTCCACAGATCCAGATCCGCATCATTCTCAAGGTATGGGCCATACTGTAGTTGTTAAGAACTTTTTTTAATGTTGTATTTCTTATTTAAATTATATTATTTAACTCTGAACTTACTGACTTTGAAATTTCTGTCTCATGTTTTGTATAAAAAGGCAAGGTCGGGGTAAAAATGTGGTGGTAGAAAATGGGTTAATCCATTTTCAGTCATTTCTTAGGGGGAAAATTGATTTAGAACTGGACTGCATCGCATCTGGATGCTCCTTCTAGAACAGATTAGCGTTGAGGTCCACAGTTCTCCTGTAAATTGGTTTCCTGTTAAACAGTTCATACGCCATTTGTTCCATGGCATTGATCGCAGGTATTTGTAGCATTGATTGCCGGTATTTGTACAATTGAAGACTAGATATGATAATAGAAAAATATAGTACTCAAATATTCAGCAACAAATTGCACAAGCCATTTGCAGGTTACCCCTAGTTTTACAAACAGCCATCACTCAGTTGCAAATGCTCCAAGTGAGTGCAGTGAACTCCCATTTATCTGCTTTAGTGGGAGCCAGGGAAAATATGGAGAAAGATCACTTAAAGATAAGGCCTTTAATGCTTATGTAGGAACACTTGTAAACTATTGTTAGTTAAATCTGTCAACTGCTTCTATGGAGCAAGCCAGAGAAAATATGGAGGAGAAAGATAGCCTAAAGATAAGGTTTCTGATGCTTATGTGGGCAAACTTGTAAGCTACTTTTATGCTTATGTGGGGATACTTGTAGAATGTCAACTGCTTCTATGACATCCAAGTCATTCAGAATTGACAGGAAATCCCTAAGGCTTCCCACTTGATTCATTGTTCTGGTCCCTCACAAGAATAACTGGCGCTTTGATTGAACTGATTACAAGATGCCAGATTTGAGTTGCAGAATCACAATCCTTTTATCTGACTCCAATGCCACCTCCTCTTTTACTTCCAGATGTTTTCCAGGGAGAAGTTGAATCTATTCATTTCTAAATTAATATACTCGTCCCTTGGTGAAAAGCCAAGATTTTACTGTCAGA